CTCCAACTGAAATGGAGGGTACCCGAGAAATAAGCTATCTGAAGAGGTATCGGGCCTCAAGGCCAGGCGGGTTGTCCCCATCGGTTTTTTACGATGGTGGTTCAGGCTTGGTTTCGGAATTAATGAAACTCGGTCATCAAACCGACTTACAAGAAAGGTGACAGATTCTCTTGTGAAAATCACAGAGGAATTATTTTATCATTGCTTCCAAACTTCTCACTGGGATCATACTCCGTCGATTGTTTGCCGCACGTGAAGAGTGCACACATAAGAATCAGGCTGGTTTTAGACCACATCTCACTTCACCAAACTCTGGAGCACCGACATTCCTTTCTTAGACCTACCATTCCTATCTTCCTCGACCTGAAAGCGGCTTTCAACTCAGTCGACCGCTCTAAACTCTGGCGCTGCCTTTCCCTAAAGGGTGCGCCCGAGAAGTTTATTTTAATATTACAAACCCTCTACGATAATAGCGGAAGCCGAGTCCGAGCTTACGGCATCTTTTCACTCGAGTTCACTACAGAAAGTGGTGTTCTTCAGGGTTGCCCTCTCTCCTTTTCTATTCAACTTTGTGATAGATTTGATTATGAAAACAGCCCTATCCTCAGCACTCAGTCTCACTCTAACTGGGGAAGTAATAAAGCAGGTGGATAAGTTTTATTATTTGGGCAGCTACATCTCACCCGGTGGACGCATCACGGATGAAGAAGGCTCGGTNNNGTGGTGCCGTCGCGACATTCGGCTGCCTGTGAACTGTCGAGTGTATGCCGCGACAGTTCGGCCAGTTCTGCTATACGGTGCATAAATTTGGCTATTAAGAAAACAAGATAAAGATAGACTGTCGGTGTTTGACCACCGAATCTGGTGGGGTAGCCGTGCTGAGGTTAGGGGCAGAGTTTTGGGCAAATACGATCACCCACTGGAGCAAGTGGTCGACCTCCATAGATTACGCTGGTTGAGACATGTGTTACGCATGTCGCGAGATAGGTTTCCACGGCGAGCGATGTTCACTGAAGCAGATACCGAGTGGAAAAAAACCAAGGATGGTCAAGCTAAGACCTGGCTCAAGGGTATGAAAACCCTGACTAGGAGACTGGGTCACATAAGTAATGTCAGGCTTCCTGGCTGGGGACCTCGGGATGATCGTAACCGATGGTTAGAGACACTGAGTGATATGGCTTGCAAACAGTGGCGTTCTTGCATCTTCTCAGTCTCTTTGCAACCTTAGACCACTGAACTTCTCCATTTTCGACTCACTCTCAACTTTCCTTCTCCTATTCTTCCTCAAATCGGCAACCGAAAGACAGCAACCAAAACCGGCGCACGAATATGCGTGGTTAATGGTTGTACAAACTGAACTGAAACTGTTCAACTTCGCCGTTTACTTGACCGGACAAAACATTCTGTAGAACTTCCTCAATGACAAATTTGAAAAGGAAAGGGAATATAGAGCAGCCTTTTCGAACTCCACCGGAGACGGAGAATGGTGTCGAAAGCTGGCCATTGGCCTTAACCCGACCTGAGGTACGACGACTCAACTGTTAGAGGATCACCACACTTCTGAGGTACTCCATTCCGCAACAAACACTTCCACGATGCGGTCCTATGGACAGTGTCGAAGGCCGCGCGGATATCTAAGAACACAGTGATTGTTGGTCTTCGGTAGGCATGACAGTGCTCTAGCGGCTGTCTTAGGGTTAAGATTTGATCGATGCATCCATGACCGGCGCGAAACCCAGCCTGCTCCTCGCGGGTCTACGCCTCACGCATAGTGTACAATCAGCGGAAAATGACGGACATCAACAGCTTTGACGCTATCGGGATGAGGTTTATACGTCTATGGTTGACGCGGTTAAAAGCGTGAGCCGGTTTTAAAGATCTGGGCCAACAATCGATTCCCCCCACTAGGAAAGGATCTGCTCACTTTGCTGGACTTTAAAGTGCAGAGCCACCAATTCTCTAGGAGGATTTATTCCGCCATCCTTGAATAAAGCTAGGAAAGGGCCGTCGGAACCTGGTGCTTTGTGACGTCCCAAGATTTGGCTTTCCTCACGAATTTTCACCTCAGAAGGTGGACCTGGTGAGACAGACCAGGGGACTTGTTCTTGAACTTCTGTTTCCTGAGGGCTCACTTCGCCGCCTTCCAGGTGGATCCGATCTCTTTCCATCTTATACATTCTCACTTACTTTATGTACATCGTGGGCTGCACTGCGATCACTGAGGTTCGCTGCACTGTACTGAACAGTACGCCAGGTTTCGCTGTTTCCACGTCGGCCTGCATTAATTTCACATGTCGTTACCAGTCGTGCTCAACTATGCTCGTTGTCGCTCGCTAATTATCGACGAGCAGCACGAATTCACAGAAACCCAGGGTGTCGATACCACGTGTCATGCCACCTTATGCATTCTTGATGAGCGGCCAGAACTGACTGGTCTTATCAGGTAAGGTTGGTTCTAGCTTGTCAGTCAGCGCGTTTCGGAAGACAGCTGGGAAAGCTGATTGAGACCGCTTATTACAATCTAACCGTCTCCGTGTCATGCGTTTGGAACGCCCACCGAATCACATGGACAATTTTGTGCAGACTAATGTGTGGTCGGATTCGAGGGGAGTGCCTCGCGGACGTTAGTCTCGTATACATTCGGTTTCAAATTCAGTTTTACAACCATTAACCATGCACTTTCGTGCACCAATTTTGGTTGTCTTCTGGCCGCCCTTTTGGATAAAAGAGTAGGATGATGTTCGTATATGCCTGTCATTATTGGCTTTATAATGATGTGGTCTATCTGCATCCGTCGCTGACTGGATGAGAGTAGACGCCAACTGGTACCGGTTGTTGAATCGTTTGAAGTTCGTACCGATGGAGATTAGGCGATGGGGCTAACAACCGTTGCTCGTTTTCCGAGTGACAGGTGTATAACCCTAAAGAGCTCAGATGCGCCTCACCCGAAGATAGCAGTCCTAATCTGGTATTCATATCTAAGACGTCGATATCAGCCCAGTTCGTAGTTCGACTGTATCGAGGATACTGTTAATTAATGCGTTCAGTGAGATGACAAACAAGTTGCATCTTTCGGAGCAACGATTACTCGCTTTTCGCACATCCCTGAGTCTTACTGCACGGCTTCAGCTGTCACTGAGCACTGGATCAACGCCAGCAAGACTAAATGCCGTAGCCTCGTGGTCAACAGAAAGACGTAAGTGAGGCTTTGCAGACTGGTTTGATGGGTACTGCTACAGACTAGTTGAGCTGGAGTTTTGAACGCGAGACTCTTGGACACAGCACACATCAATGACTAGGGTCTCAAGGGCAAAAGCTAAACATGGTTGTTGTCCAACACAGAGTACGCACTTCAAATGTCTAGTTTGAAGGGGTATTGAGATCGAAGAAGGGCTTCAGCTGGTGGACGATTCGATGAACCTTGGACGGTAGTCCAAGCAGGACACGCTAGAATAAAAACAATTTCCATCTGAGTTATTCTTGTTAATGCAATCATCTGAAGCTCCCGATGGAAGTGATGTGTCAAGGGAAGGAGGGGGAGATGGATGAGTTAGACAAGAAGATATGTATGGTGAAGAATGGTTTATACTAGTCGAGGGGTACTTTGAGTGTGTATTCACTGAAAGAAGATGGTTCATGATCCATGGTTGTATACGTTATGCGCTGTCGTGCTACTTTTTCGCCCAGCCTTTACCGAGGGTGCACTCTAGCTTTCGTATAACCAAACGTGAACTTGAAGACAGCAGCTTTGTTCNTTCCAGATGAACCGGCGACGGGTTGGTTGGCACATTCGTGTTTTCTGGATAACCTTGTGGAGTAGGCGGAACTCACCAAGGAGCCATAGTCATTATCAGAGGGCCGCCACATCGCAGCGATATCAAAATATACATGTGGTGTTGTGCGGAGAACCCTTGAAGTTGATCACCTGCTACCGCTTATTCGTTAAGCCTAAACCAACGCTCTTCACGGTTAACCGCGAGTTGGCGGCCATTCCCATATCCGCTTCCTGTAGGCACGCTCGGTGGCATACAGCTCTGCTCTTCCGGTCGTAAGAGGTGCTGAGTTGGAGTGGTGAATACAACGGAGGCCTCATCAAGAAACGGTGTCTTCGGTACACCGCTGGCACATTCGTAATTCTTGAAGTGGGCGCTGCAAGCTCCAATTCTTCATAATATGGTATTCCTCTCTCACTCAAGATATTCTGTGCAAACCGAAAAGGTGTCTGGAATGATTTACTCTTCATCACGTTGTAGTCTTACAAGATTGGAAAGAGTCTAGCTCACGCTACCACTCACGACTAACCAGTTGGAACTTGTTGCTTTAGTTCACTAAGGCTGACGGACATGCATACGATCATCAGTGTTCTACCATTCGTCACGAAAATACTCAAGAAGGAGAAGCAATCCACCGTAGCTGTGCCGAGAAAGCTAATCTGGTGACATGCTTAACATGCCTCGGTCACTGCATTCTATAGAGATTAGGTGATTGAGTCAACGCGCTACCACTTTTACTCAAAACTGTCTATCCCCAGCATTGCTTGACCGATTGTCTCATCTAATTTGTGCACTGCGGAATGGTTAGCAGTTTTTATACACCTATAGTCTTTTTACCATTCTCCCGTGACTTTTATGTATGCCCACTAGCTGGACAACTGCAGCATACTGTACCCAAATGTTGGGTCGGCCTCAGGGATTTCAGGTCGACAGAAGTCGACCGGGCGTTTGGTATGTGTGCCTATCCATGATGCGTCTGTCAGGTCTACATTAGAGTAAAAATGGGATCTTTAATAATCCACTACCAATACAGTAAAGTGCATGCCAACCGTAGATACGTCAAAACTAATTTGAATTTAGTATGGCTTTCTTGATTGGTTTTTCTTGACGCGTTCATTCACAGTCCCCGTTGTCGATTAGTCAGAATTTTACGTCCACTTATCATTACATAGGATTTGTTACATGTGATCGTACACTATTGTGTGAATTGTGCAATCTTGATTTCAGATGCCGGCTCCCAAACGGCTACGGGAGCTTGTACGTGATATCCGATCAGCTAGAACAGCCGCAGAGGAGCGTGCGATTGTTAATAGAGAGTGTGCTCTGATTCGTGACAGTTTTCGGGAAGAAAACAACGTCTACAGATGTCGCAACGTGGCCAAATTACTATACATCCACATGCTTGGATATCCTGCTCATTTTGGTCAAGTAAGTTCGCACTGCTAGCTGAAATTACTTTATTTCTTCGTTTATGATAAAGGGACTATAATTTAACCTACTATGTTGACAACAATCATTGTAGAGAAAAACCTGCTTGAATTGGAATAGTACAACTGATTGTCTTTGGCTGTTATCGGCTACTCGATTGAGATATGAGGAAAGAAAGTTTTATAACCGAACTTTGAAAAATATGACTGTAAAAATGCAACTAGTGACGCAAACACAATGAGCCTCTCGCTAATGCATGTAGTCTCAATCTTCCGTTCACAGGACGGCATAGTGATCAGATAGTTGTATTATATTAGTGAATTTTACTTTCTACCCACGAATGTTGGTGTTTTGATTTTGTTCCCTCTTTGCCTTCGTGCCGTTCCCATTCACCCCATGTATGCATGTTGCTGGGTATTACTCTTCGGTAGTTATTTCATGCAACACACTGATCGTGAACTCCGTACTTATTATTGTTTTAGCTGGAATGTTTAAAGTTGATTGCCTCGCCTCGTTTCACCGATAAACGAGTGGGATATTTAGGTGCAATGCTCCTACTGGACGAGCGAACAGATGTACACTTGTTGGTGACCAATTCGTTGAAAAAGTAAGTACTCTTAGCTGTTTAAAATAATCGCTTTTTCCAGAACTGCACCCTTTCCCATCAATGAATATATTCCACTTTTTTGTTTGTCGGAATATTTTCCCATAGCAAACTCGTTGCCATTTTGAGGATTTCGGTGCTCTAATATTTCATGGTTTTGACAAGCTCTGTGTGTACTGCGATTTGTTTGTGTTTGATATATTCATAGGTATTACGTGATTCGTGCTTTACTTTATAATTATCAAGTCGTGCTTGACTCTGTTTTTTCCTGCTGAAGGATATTCTGGAAATTCCTGTAGCTTCACGGGCAATGCTCGTCCTCCGATTCAGCTAAAGATACTCCCTTCTGTCGCGCCCTTCATCTAGGCTAACGGTGGCTGGTTTCGTTTAGTATAGTCGTTTAGACTGTCTTTAGACGGAATGGTCCAGCGGTCAAGGTAAGGTAACACGCTTATCACTCTGGACATTACGCTTTCAGACCCTCCTCCGGTCACCTAAGTTTCTCTGTGGCAATCCTCTCATTAGGAACTTCACTGCATCTGAGAAATACTTATTTTTATTTTTGAAAGACCGACTCCTGCGGGAGGATCTCTGGCCTAATGACATTGGGAAACTGATTGATGCAGCTGACTATAGGCTGAAGGTTGTTCATGGTATCCCCAAGTACGACGACATTGTCCGCAAACTCGAGGTCTGCAATCCACGTACATGAGCCCAGCTCCTCTCCGGGGTAGTCGATGAGTGCTTGTCGCATAATCCTATCTACTCTATAATTGAATTACACCGGCGATAAGAGACAACCTTGCCTGACTCCAGAGCTCAGTGTAAACTCAGCTAATTCTTCTCCATAGTTACGGACGCTTGCCCGGGTCCCTGAGTAGCACGACTTTTGAAGCTTGGTAAACTTCTCGGGAATCCCGTCGAACCGCAATGTGCACCACACGGATTCTCTATCGACATAGTCAAAGGCAGCGCGGGAGTCGATGCTTTGGTAGATTGTCGGAATTTGTAGCGGTGTTCCAGAATTCACGGCGAACCTCCCCTCTGATTCGGACGGATGCGGGTATCTTTGGTGACTGCGAAGCGATCAAGCTGTATCACTGCAAACAATTTGGCCGCAATATCGATGAGGCTGATGCCCCTGTAATTTTCGCATCTTGATCTGTCACCCTTGTTTGCAACGGACTAAAACTGAAGTTGCCCAATCTTTTGGAAAAAATCTTTTTCCCAAATGAAGTGGAAAGGGTGCAACAGATTGGCAGTAGTTAGTAGACAAGCTTTAAGTAGCTCTGGTAGTATCTAGTCTTCTCCAGGGGCCTTCCTTCTTTTCATAGAAGTGACTGCATTGGTGATTTCTGTTCTTCTAGGCAGGTCATATTTGATGTCGTAGATCTCCGAACTGCCTGACACCTGTGGAAAGCCAGGTTGGTTGATGNATGGGCAGTTGAGCAACCCGTCCAAGTTTTCGACCCACCTTTGCATTTCCTGTTCAGTTCCCTGATTAAGTTGACCTGTGGTGCTGCGCAACAGTGGTTCTAATGTCTGTCTCTTTCCTGCTGCGACACAGATTAAACGGAATAGCTTTCCAAAGTCTGCTGCGACGGTTGCAGCCCCCATGCTATCTGCAATCGCATTCCAGTATTGTTTACGGTCCCTCTTGACGAAGTGTGTGACTTGGCGATGTTGAATACGGAACTCAGGAGAATTGATCAGCCGTGCCTCTCTTACCTTTGCGGACAACTGTAGTGTACTCTCGGAGATCCAGTTTCTTTTGTGGAGGAATTTTACCTAACTACCCCAGCGCCGTTTCTCTGATAGACGCTTTCAGTGTAGACCACTGTCCGTCGACAGCTGAATGGGCAAGAGAAGTTGCGAGCCTGTTGGAAGTGGTTGCGTCCAGCAACGCCCGCCTTTAGAGAGTTATTTCCAAAGGAGCGGCGTTGAATTTGTCTGTGAAACGAGTCCTCCGGCTGAAAAATCGTTAGTGCAATTATGCATTCGATGTAAATGGAGTAAATAAAATGGGAGAAGAGTCTGTTTTCTTTTCTTTGCCCAGGCCAAGGCAAGTGCTTTGGCTTGGGGAACTCAAAATCGGAGCTTTCGACTTGTTAAATCCTGACCCGCAAGGCGGCGGAACGGTATGTAACAACCGCATTCCCTTAAAGGTCAGATCATTCGTCCTTTGCACGAGGTCTGACGTCCAAGGTGCCTAATACACCTCGATAAACAACCAAGGTGACTACCACCACAAACAATGGTGGGTGTGGTTCGTATGCCTCTTCTTGGTTGTTTTGGAATCATTGTTTTTAGACAATTCACCTCGGTAAACTGCCACTCGTTAGTTGACCCGTTATATCCCTGGGTATTGGCTTTTCTCAAATTTTTCGGAATACATCGCCACGGAAGGGTAGTAAGTAGAGCTTCGTCAGCATTGGCTATTTGAAGCGCATTGCTGTAAAGGATCATTTCGCGAGGTGTAGGGGAAGGGTGACCAACCAAAACCTAAGACACCCACTCTCAACCTTACTGAGGCTTTCGAAGGTGGTGATCAGTTGTGCGTAATTTACTAAATGGAAAACAACAAAATGATCACCTAAATGATTGCTCGTCTTTGGCCTCCGTTCCTGTGATATGTCCTACGTTGGGTCAGTTTTTTATAGTATTTAGAATGATCGCAGGTAACTAAGTTCAAAGAATGGCGAGAAGTTTCATTAATCGTCATTAAATATCTCTTAAAAGATGAGTGCGGAAAGTACGTATCCCACAAATAATCCGGCAACAGTTAAGGTACTGTTGTGTGACAACAGTCGGGTGATGTTAGCGAAAATGATATCATCAAGTCGGAAGGAAACCTAGCTTTAAACACGCTTTTGATGGATTAGTGATGTGCTGTGATACCCAGGGATGGAGTTTTCTTTCCACTGTTTACGCAACATGCGAATCTGTTTGGGCAACCGGACGAGCAATACTGAGTGTAAGCGCAGAGTTTTAGGTAATCCGGTCGTCCACTGGAGCAAGTGGTTGTCACGGCGCGCGATGTTAGCCGAGGCTGACTGCGGATGGAAAAATATCAAAGGCGGTCAAACAGATCTGGCGTGAGGGTATTATAACCCTAGCCAGGAGACTGGGGCATATAGGTCGCGTTAAGCTCCCTGGATGAGGATGTCGGGATCCTTGCAATCATTATTTAGGGACACAGTGATATGACTGAGTGTCGTACACAGTGACGTTTGTACATCTCAATATCTTTGCAACCATAGTCTTCTGAAATTTTCCATTTTCTCTTCGAATCTTCTTTTAACTTCTTTATCTGTTTCCTACTCCTTCATCCAAATGGGCAAGCGAAAGACAACAACGAAAACCGGTGCATGTACTGTACTGGCCGAATGTGGTGCACTAAAATATTTTCCTTATGATCAAATGGAGTTTCATTGTATTTATCACCTATATTAATGCTTTAGATATGGACAGTAATTTATATCTTGTCTACTTCGATGTAAGTAGTGCATGGTTAATAGTTTTACAAACTGAATTGAACTGGAGTCTTTTTTCGGTGTCACAGTAGTGGGGTTTTCAAGGCTTCTAGTTGACCAGAAATAGGGTAATTTGAACGACAAAACCTACAAACTACTAATAAAGAGTTTCGGTCAAAATGATAATTTTGAACGATGCTTTTGATTGGTAGGCGGCATTCACTTTTTCTACTCCGTATTACGCTCGTGACAACAAAAGCTCGATGCCCCTCAAATACTAATCATTCTGGCTGCCCGTATTCACAGATAGCACAGTCACAGTTGTATATCCGAACCATTTAAAGAGTTTTATCCAGTTCCTTAGTATTGTCCATCTCTTTGCATTTAACTTTCACGAATTAACTTCAATGGTAATACCACACAGTACACTTCTTGAGCGACATCACTAATTCATCACTTACTTCTCTTACTTCCCTCGACACGCTTTTCTAATCAGTGATCTGAACCACCCAACAGCATATGTTGCTAGCCTCGCCCTTTGTACATTGGGCAGCATTTGTTCGGCAGAAATGAGTCGTGATTTGGCCGGTGAAGTGGAACGATTGATCAAATCGTCTAACTCATATTTAAAGAAAAAGGTGAGTTTTTATCCCATTCTACCTTCACCTTTTACTTTCTCATGACTCCACTGGAAGATGAGTCGGCTTCCTAGATACCTCGAACTGCAGCTTTTCCTGCACCGCCGTTGTTGGCGAGGTCGATAGGAATTCGGTTGCCTGGTTGGGTCTTATCAGCAGATTTGCACTGCTGATGAGACCCAACCAGGTCGAAACAACTCAAGTGCTTCCTAGCGTTTCAGTTCACGCTTCATCATCATCATCATCATCATCATCATCATCATCATCACCACCATCATATATATATATATATATATATGTATGTATGTATATATATATATATATATATATATATATATCACACATCGGACCCCGTCCATAATCGTTTGTAGGCCTAGGTTTCCCACGTGCCAAT